TGGAAACCGGCGCCTGATGAGGCGGTTCCACTATATCCAATCTACAGATACGGCGCAAAATCATTAATCAACGGCGTTACTCTTCATAGCATGCTTTTATGAGACCAAACACTGACAGCAATCATGAGCCTTCTTGTAGGTATAGTCAGAAGTCAAACCAAGAAAGTTACCAATTTACTTATGGGTTCCTCTAACCTTACTTTACTCTGGCGAAAAACGTAGAGCTAACCGAGCAGTACCTATCTTTATTACTTCAGGAAGGACTTATGCTTTGCATTGCAGGCCTAGATTGTTCTGCTCATTTTGAACAGATGTGTAAGCGAGCAATTCATGGTAGGAATGATGACTACTGGGTGTTCGGATTGAAACTATGTATGCTTACGCTATTCTTTGTCACCCTCCACAGGTAGAACCAAGTCGAAGCGAAGCGTCTTGTAAATTCTGATTAAACATTTTGCGACAGTTCATCAAATTGCAGTTGGAAACCGGCGCCTGATGAGGCGGTTCCACTATATCCAATCTACAGATACGGCGCAAAAGTATTAATCAACGGCGCTACTCTTCATAGCATGCTTTTATGAGACCAGACACTGACAGCAATCATGAGCCTTCTTGTAGGTATAGTCGGAAGTCAAACCAAGTAAGTTAACAGTTTACTTATGCGCTCCTCTAACTTTACTCTGGCGAAAAACGTAGACCTAACCGAGTAGCACCTATCTTTATTATTACTTCAGGAAGGACATATGCTTTGCATTGCAAGCCTAGATTGTTCATGCTCATTTTGAACAGATGTATAAGCGAGCAATTCATGGTAGGAATGATGTCTAGTGGGTGTTCGGATTGAAACTATGTATGCTTACGCTATTCTTTGTCACCCTCCACAGGTAGAAGAATCCTTCAATCACTTCAGGACGGAGTATGTAACCGTGCTCACCGTTCCTAAAACAAACTTATTATAGCAACATTCTCCATTAATTTTTATGTTGATGTAATCATCATATATTGTTGTTGTTCAGCAAAAATGTATGACTTTGGAATGATCTGGCTCTTGCTTTGCTTTTCGAAGTGAAGTGAAAAAGTGCTTTTCGTCTTATTTAATTGATTTGGGATCAGCTACCTAATGACATCCTATTTTTCGTAGTCTTCATCCGGAATCGAAAGAGAACAATCCATCAACCATCTCCATAGAACATTTCACGCATGAATTTATTGCAAGACTTTAAAGACGTCATAATAAGGGTCCACCCAGTTGCAGAGATTTCCAGCACTAAGTTCATGAATCCGTTATTGACCCTGTTCCCTACACAAAAGACTTTCACCCTCTTTCCAAACTTTTTTCGAGATGCTTGATTTACGCACCAGGCTTGTAAAAAGATCAAAGATAGTATCGAGCAGTGTCAAACTAATTGATGAAGTCTGCGGGGCCCATTCTATTATATTTCTTCGGGTATGGGTACTTACGTGCGTCCGAGGATGCTCGCGGCAAATTGCGCGGCGAAGTGCGTGGTGATTCGAACGACTCTGGCGCCTATCATTGGGGCCCAAACTCGAAGAAGAGTAGTTAAATAGTTAAGTAGGGTCTGCTGATACTACTGATCTACTCTATTTCAAATTTGGGCCATAATGATAGGCGCCAGAGTCGTTCGAATCCCCACGCACTTCGCCGCGCAATTTGCCGCGAGCATCCTCGGACGCACGTAAGTACCCATACCCGAAGAAATATAAT